TTATAATATGTAAATTTGAGTGTGCAAGTGCTCCTCCGTGATTGGTGCATCCAGGGTGGATGGATCGTACTGACTGACTAACGACCGGGAGGCAGCGCATAAGAAGACACCGTCAGGGACTGCCAGGTCATTCATCCTCGGCCCAACCCAACCAGCAGACCGTGTGTTTCACTATGTTGGTTTAATGTAGGAGCATGTAGGGGTGGTCCGCCGTTTTGTTTGATTAGTTTCCTCCTGTTTTTGTTAGGTAGGGAGGGTAGTAATTGTCGTTTGGTTTAGTTCTTTTGACTAGGTAAGTTGTATTTACTCCTGAGATAGGCTACTTTTTGTTTGTTGTTTTGGCCTTGGGTTCACCCCGAAGTTATAATTCGCTCCCTTCCTTTGTTTAAATTCACTCATTGTAAATAATTCCCTGTCACAAAGTATTCATTGTGTGACGTGCTGCTTGGGGTTGGACGGGGATGGATGACCCTTTATGTTGTGGTCTGGCCGCGCCTAGACGGGCCATAACAACATAGAGTAAAGGGAAAACAGTAGTGAGTGTGTTAGGAAAATGCATAGTGAAATGAACAAGAAACAGAGATATTTTTTTGCCTAGAAGTTTTTAATTGGCATTTGGGCTTCAGTTGCACCCAATTAGCAGGCTTGTTACATGTGAACACTAAGAGCTAATTGGCCTTATAGGTGAAAGGAGCACTGCCCTAAAAGGAGAGCACAAGGCTCACTTGAAAATTCATAGTTCTAGTAGGACTATGTTGGAAGGCTACTTGGCAAAAAGTTGTAAATAACACTCTGCTCCTGCAAGTATTATTTATACTTCCTTGCAGCCTTTATTGCCAGATGCATAACAAAGACAGAATCATGGCCGCTATAAGCTTTATGGGCAATCAGAGAAAAGTATTTGGTCATCAGCATTTTTTTTCTGTAATCAACAATTTACCTGTCAACAAAAATTGGATTGATTTAAAAAAAAAAAAAAAAGAAAGTCTTGAACTATATTTTAACAGTGTAGAAATCTTCTAGGAGTCAATCAGATCTGAAGGGAAATATCCCAAATGTTGTTACCCTATTAAATGGCCGTTCTCAGTTGCATTAACTTCAATAGATATGACTAAGAGAAAGATGTCCAAATCACAAAGATGACCACTGGCCTTCTTTGTAGAACTGCATGTAAAATTTACACAGGCATTGCCTACCCAAAGCCTCTAAAAGACTCACTAATAATCTGTTGTCCTAACTTACTGCCTCAAGTAGACGTGAAGAGAAAGGTTCTGTGTGACAAATTAAACTTAAACTGCTATCTTTTCCAAAGACTAACCAGACGATTTTGGTGACCAAACAAACCAAAGAAATAAAAACTGCAAAGCACTACAATTTGGCATCACCACCATAAGGTAATAACAGCCTGTTGAGACTGATGGTGGTGTAGGTGATCTCGTATAATTCATTGGCATAATAACAACTGATAACAAAGAATTAATGGGATAATAACACTGGACTTATGTAAACATAATCATTCACAGGAATAGCCTAACCAGTCTACATTCAGTACTATCCTGCCTTATACTGAGGAATATGCCGCATGTAAGTGCAAATACAACAGCACAATGAGCTCACCAAGGGCAAGAGACTCAATCTCTGATTACATTTACTATACAAACTGTAACAGCAGGATCTGTTGCACAGGACATCAAGAGCTCATTATGCTCTTTACATGCAATTAATCAAACAATATAAACAAAGATCCCTTTAGCCATAGATGACAGAGCCCGATTCCCCAGTGGCAACTGATGTACAGTGAACACTACAAAACTTTTTTTTTTGAAAAATGTAAAAGTCATCGTTAATCTTAATGTGATAGTGGTGATACTATGCAATATAATCTGTTCCTCCTGCCTGTTCACACTGTTACCTATAATCTTCTCATGCTGAAAAATGCAAAGAATGTAGTGGCATGAAAATATCTGGACTTTTCTTGTAAAATAAAAGAAATATGTTGTGTGGTAAGATAACAGCGCATTTAGGACAAGTATGCATTTTATTATCTTTGTAAATATCCATTACCCCTTTAAATTAATAAATGGGCTTTTAAGTTTACAACACGTGTTGGGAAAGCCAGCCAAGTCTATAGCGTCCACTGCAGCAATCGGCTATAATAAAACAGTTATTGATAATATTTACTCAGTCTTCTTCATGAATTATGCCTGCGACATTACCTAGTCAATGTTGTCTTTCTGTTTTCTTTTTCTTTCAGCTAATCATCCTTGAGCAAATCATAATGTAGCCAATAAAAGCAATAAAAGGAGAACTCAAGGACTCATTAAGAACTGGGAAGCTCTTATGACCTGTGCGCTCTGTTCACTTGGGACTATTCACAGGTTCACAGATGCAGATGCCTAAAAGACTCAAATTATGCTCACAATGTTCTGGCTTCATTTTTTAATATTGTTTTTTAGTTTGCTTGCTGATTTTGTTATTTGTGTGTTTTTCTAATCATGCAGAATTTTACAGAGAAGTATATTCACTTTTAGATCTAAATAAGGAAACCAACCAAAGACTTGGCAATGCAGACTATACACTGCAAACTATACACATCTATAAAAATAGATTAACATAATTCATTAGGTTCATGGCTGTCAGGTCACATTTCAAAATAACAATGCAGTGGTTCCTCTTGCAAGTGTCATTTAACTAAATTATACGCTTCAATATCTACACTATTTGTCCCATATCCATCCCTGTGAGATAGAGAGTAAATTGACTGGTTCTTATATAGTGCTTTTCTACTCTATTAGAGCACTCAAAGTGCTTTACAACTACAACAGCCATTCACCCATTCGCCCAAGCACTATTAATATAACATCCACAGTCACATTCTAATGGATTCGGGGTAACTCAGGGTTCAGTATTTTACTCAAAGACACTTTAACATGACATGCTGAGTAGTCTATCACACCTCTGATCAGCAGATGACCCTGAGTCACAGCTACCTTTTTTAAGCCACATGTCTCATATGAACAAATTTACATTTGGTTACCTGACAGTAACATAGCCACTACTGAAATGAGCAATCATGGCTGTAGCACTGTGGTGAGACGCCACTAAAATGGCAGCATTATACAACTGGGCATCTCAAACCATCAGGCCATGACAATGACAATGAGGCTTGTCCAGAAGTGTCACCTCTCCCAGCCTCTGTCTGTCTTTGTTTCTCTTGCATTATTATTTCCACCATTGTCTCTTTCCCTATATCTCTCTCACTTTATGTGTCTCATAAACACATGGGCACACACACACACATGCACAGAGAGAGAGAGGCAAAGACAGGGAGAAAGAGAGCGAGAGAGAGGAAAAGACAGAACGTCTTTATTAGTCCTCTGTATGCAGTCTGTGCTCAGCCTGAGATTGCAGGACTGACCCCTCACTGTGAGCTGCACAGGGGAAATGTTTACTCAAACCCCAAAGAACATGCCATTAACCTCTTTCTAGATAGAAGACAAACAATAATGTCCCTCCATGAGGGCAATAAAGACAGAACACCTATCCAGGACCATCATGACAATCATCTCATTATGAAGCTGCGGGAGGTGGTAAGGAGCCAGGGAGCCCGGTCTCCCGGGGATACTTTCTCTACAGTATACCAGTGTGTCTAACATTCAGTAAGGTATTTATGATATGCAGTCAAGCGCAAACAAATTGTTAACCCAACAGAGTTAAACCATTGCAAGCCTGACCCAAATGCTACAACTACCGCTTCCCCCTACTTGATAAACCATTCATTTTGCTTACTTTCTTCCACCTTTCCTTATTGTGTCATCTCCTATAGTGTCTCTGTACCTCTTTTTCTCCCTGGAGATTGAGACGAAAATCCTTGGGCTCTGATTAAAGCCCCAACCTGGGAGGACATTTTAGTGTTGAAAGTAAATGAGGGGGGGGAGTCTTCTTCTTCACACCTTGATAATTCCCCTGATGTGTGAGTCAAAGTCCCCTTGCACGCATCAAATAAAGAAAGACACCACAAGCTCACACTCATCCCAGATTGAGGGTCTCCTCCTGGGTAGGCTTAAGAGCCCACTACTGGGTACCGTTTACCTGTGTCGTTTGAAGAGCCCATTATTTTAATTGAAAAAGTTACCTGCCCGCCAAAGGCAAACAGTGAAAAAAAAATGTGAGGAGAATTAAAACAAAAACACCAGATGGTGATATACATGATAAAAATGATTGTTTATACTTACTGTTTGATTATATGTGATAATGAGAGTGGGATTCCTCAAGGCAATTATTGTCTGTGGCAGCCATATTGTGAGAGGACAAGAGAAGGACGGCACGGGCTGGTATGAAGAAGCGCTTATCAAATATCTCCGGCGGGGTGATTAGTGTAATAAGACACTGCAAGGTGAGATAGGCCACTCACACTCTTTTAGTATGTCTGTGCAAGTTTGCGTGTGTAATTAAGCGAAAAAGAATGGGTGTTAGAATGAGCAAGAAACAGAGCCTAAGAGGGAGTCTGAGAAAGTATGAGCGACTCCCTTCATCTGTTTTCCATATCTGCGTGTGTCTCTGTGTCTTAATGTCTACCCTGTCCCCATGTGCCTTACTCTGGTGGTGTGTGTGTGTGATATAATTCCTATGTTAATGTAGGTTCCCATGCCAGGCTGGCTGCCCCAAGGGCTATAGCCTACGACAGAGGGCAGATTGGGGGCACTTACCCCTGGCAGAGTCTTCTGTTCATGGAGGGCGCTCTGGGCCTTCAGTGCTGACTCTCTGGCACAGTATGTTAGAAAGGCACATCCTGCAGTATCAGGAGACAGGAGAAAGGAAAGCTTATTACACACCACTGTTAATGTTTAATAAAAGGAAGGGGGGAATTACAGTAACAGAGAGTTTTCAGATTTAAAGTGCACATGTAATTGCAAGTTATGTTTTTTATTGTACTTAACTGTCTTGAGAGATCAAAACACAAACTAAAAGCTAAAATCATATGTCATTGTGGTGATTTAAACTTTTTGTGCATGTCAAACATTTGATTATATTGCTATATATTACATTAAATAATATTCATCTATGATTAAATGCATAAACTACAAAAGAAATCCATCTCATTCATCACTTAAAACACCCTAGAAGAGATTGGTAACGTATTTGTCTGTAGAGACCCAGTTTCATTCTTTTGCCCTTTTACAAATGTGCTGGTTCAGTACCCAACCAGTAACAGCTTCCAGAGTGTGAGGGTTCAACTGAAAATAACATAGTGACCAGGTTATATCAGCGACTCTGTCACTCTCTTTTCTCTCTTTGTCTGTGATATGGATGAACCAAAGCTGGAGTTTGATGAGTTTGTTTCACTAAGGGTGGAGTTGAGGTAGACACACGAGTACAGCAGAGAGCCAAGAGAGGACAAAATTGAGCGAGCACTTCAGCTGTATGCAAACAAAATCTGGAGAGTCACCTTTCCTTGACTCTCTTCTTTGTTCTTGTGAATACTTTTCAAAGTTTTCAGTGTTGACTTTACAAATAGGAATGACAATTGTTTCATAGTACAGTACACCTCTGAAAGGAAAACACTTGACTTGTATAAAGTCATTCAAGGTGAGCAGAAAAAATGCTTTGCATACAAAAGTGAACAGAGAGTTGTTACAAAATGTAACTTAAATACAGATCAGCTTTTAATTGGATAACTCAACTGTAGTCGCGTTGTGAACAGGTGACACCAGCGTAGCGCCTAAGTTTCAGTGTGTAAATGTTACAAACAATTTAAAAATTCGCAGGAATAGTTTCATTGAATATATGGCAAAAATATGACACCTAATATAAGACTTACCGTGCTATTATATTAAAATAGAATTCATATATCCTGACAGTTAAAATGTAGCACTCTAAATTAAGCAGTTCTATATCCTTGGACTCATTAAATGCTGAGAAGATTAAAACTTTACTTTTTTATGTGACAACCCCTTTAGATTAGATTTAGTGAACTTATGTCATCAATGTTTATGTCAATAGAATGTCTGCCACGTGGCTTGTGTTTTGTTAGTGTTTTCATCTAATTCATCCATTTTAATTATGACAAAGTACACTGGACTAAGCAAAACAAAACGGCAACATTGTTAATGTGCATGTGTAATGTGCAAAGTAAAAAAAAAACAATTGCATAGAAGTAATGCTTTCTAATAATAAATGACCACTTTCATAGCTACTGAAGTGCCCAACAGTGCCCGTACATTTAAGGTGACAAGTGATTATAAAACTCTGACAATGAGCTGGAACTGTAACACATATTTGTGGATACTTTTGAGTCAGAAAATTCAGGAAAACAGAATATAAATAAATAGTAACTAGTAAGTAAGTCTCCTAAAAAATGTGACAGCTTTCATTAAAGGGTAAGTTGTTGCTCTGTTACGCGCTTGGCAGAGCTGACAATGGGTGACCCCCGTTCAGAAGAGGTTTTGCACTGTGCAGCATAATTTCTCATTACTACATGTCACACCTACTGCCAAGGATCCCCATGGGAGAAGACACACACATACACTCACACACACACCTACACATACAGATGATACCCGGCATGCCTAGCACCCATCATCCCCAAAAGCCAGAAACACACTCTGGCACCCAGCCAAGAGAGCTCCCTTTCACGACAACCTTCACCCACCTCCACAACTAGGTGGTTACTCAAGAGGAAAAATCACCTAAACGACACTGATGAAACAGCATGCCACACAGCAAAGCAGAAAAGTTTGGGAGCCTGGGGAAACACTCTTCATCCTTTATGGCATTACAAAACTGTGGAACATGAGTTGAGGACTCCTGGGGGGAACGTCCTGGCAAAGGCTTATGGGACTTGCAGGCTCGTGCTGATATTCTTCTATCGGTGCCATGCCATCTTTGACGTAGTTTTTAGTGCACATTTTTTCTGGAGAATGGCATAATTTTTATCTTGATGTTATATACCCACAAATCAGTGAATCAGTGATGCAGCTGTAAAAATGTATAACTAAAGTCTTTTAATGTCAACATTTTAACAGACATTTAATTTACTTATTGTTTAGCTTTGTGTGAAATAGCTTAACTCCACACTTCAACATATGTTAATAACTAAGTAAATGTATACACGTGCTGTTATTAAATGCAATTTAATAGAAATGACTTTGTTATACTTTGGTTCCCAAAAGGTTCCCAAAAATCTGATTCTGTTAATCTGGAAGTAGCGTTTTTAGTGGGAGGAACATTTTGTCACTCATCCAAGTGGCTTCTTCAGTTTTGTACTTTGGTTGTTTTTTGTTATAAGATAGTATAGAAATCATTACAGTTTCTGGAAAATGTTTTTGGTTTACGTCACAACATTTATTTTGCAAAATATCTCTATAACACAGCATTGTTCTCTTCATGTCTTTATTATCTTTTATAATGATTATAATAAATTCATATATTAATTAAGGTGCAATATCAGAATGCTAACACTGATTACATTAATATTAAATGTCTACACGTTAATGTATCAGTGCATTAATATTGATCATATATTATTGAGTATCATTTGAGGCTTTCCCGCAGTATTAATACTTAATAAATATTACATAATATATATGGAAAAATAATGCATTTAATAAATAACAATCATATTAATGCTATTGTTTAAGTAATTGTGTAGTTATATTATATTGTTGTTGCTTTACTGAAATAAAATTTAAAATGTGGAACTTTACTAGTACACCTGTAGTAATTAGGGGTGCAACAATACACAAAATTCACGGTTCGGTTCGATACTTTGGTGTCACGGTTCGATATTTTTTCAATACAAAAAATGTTCATGCCTTTTTAATTT